GTGACCATAAAGGATAAATAGATAGAAATTGATAATTTAAAATAGAACAATTCAAGTTAACAGGTGACTATAAAGGATAAATAGATAGAAATTGATAATTTAAAAAAGAACAACTCAAAATAATGCTTCACTATAAAGGATAAATAGATAGAAATTGATAATTAAAAATAGTATCCAAGTAACTATTAGCGTACTTATCAGCAGTAATAATAATAATAATAATAACGATTCTAATAATTAGACAAATAATGAGCATAAATCAAAATTTTATAATATATTAATATTTAATTAATAATTATAAAAACTTATCAACTTGAAATTTAATGATTCAAATGCGATTAAAATTAATTTAATTAATATCTGATTCACATCTTCTTCAATTACTATAAAATCTATCCTATTAATATGATTTTGGACTGTTTAATTTATTAAATTATCACGTAATTTTGGATTGGATGTCTTCACGAAATATAGAAATAGTTGTCCTCATAATAGAATGATAAAGTGTAGCATAATATCAGGTAATAAAATAAATTAGTTTGATAAGCACTATTAAATTTATTACTGAAGAATTACAATATTTAGAACAAATAATAAAGTAAAAATAAGATTATTATATTTTTTTCTCTGAGAATGATGGAGATTAATTGACAGAGATTACAAAGTTAATACATAAATATTTTAAACCTCTAGGATTTCCTTAAAATGCCATTATTTTAATTAAATCTTCTATATATTGATACCATAATAATTTTTATTCTTTATTTTAGATATTTAATTTTTAGATTTAAGGAAGATATATATCATCATTTTTTCTTAAATCTAAATTCTTTTATTTAAGTTAATGTATTCATTCTTAATTAATTTCATATCTTCATAAGGATTCTGAGACTTTTTACGCTTGTTATTATTTATATTTTTCTTTTGCCACCTAAAAGCAAGTCCTCTAGCATTTCGATTTCTCCAAGTAACAATTTGTTATTCAGGTTGATTCAATATATTTTATAATCCTCAAATTACGCTCCTGTATAATCAGTTGCACTCAAAGATTATCAATTCAGCATTATCTAATAAATAAGCCTTTATTTTATTATATTGTTAAGATTACTTTAAATAAGGTTTAATTAGTAGCTACAATAATCAAGTAATTGTGAAAAGTTGATGATCTAGTAAATTCCTTTTTTCCTGACTTTTTTAAAGATTATTAGGTTGCTTTCTTGCCTGTAGATTAAATTGACTATTTTAAACTGTTAATAATCAGAGTTTATTGATATTATTCATAAATTGTTATTTTTTAGAATTTCCAGAAGATCATGATAAGTTCCTTTCTGCTTTTTTCAATTTTCTATAGCTTACCAAGAATAATTTCGGGTTGTCAATTTCCATTTTTCTATTTACTTGTTTATGGATAATTTGAAAATTATCAAATTTTGCTTT